TGAATGGAAATCCTGTTGTAAATTAGAGTCTCACATCAGCTAAAGTTAGAGTATATATTTGAATAGATTACTTTACTGACTTTTAAGAGGATGTAATCAGAACACACTTTCCTCTGCAATTTGAGCTAGTTTGCATTAAAAACCGTGTATAGTGCAGGCTCTCTATTCAAAATATTTTTTAGATCCTTTCATGAAGATGTTCCAATTTATAAGCCGATGTTTCTATATTATTAATATTCATTTTCTTTAACAGTCGCTTAATTGATTATTTAAACACAAATCAAATAAAACGTTCTTTTAAATCCAGTAAATGTTGTTTCATACACGAGATAAAATTCTTAATTCAAAATCTTATTAAATACAATACGCAATTTAAGAACTTTTTCACTTCCATTGAGAACCTTTTAATGTTAACAAATTCAAATTCACAAATCTTTGTGTTAGATATTATATATTTAATTCAAGCGTCTGAAGTTTTTTTACTTTTTAATATAAAAAGTATATTTATAACTTAAGTTCCAAAAGCCAAATATAGCAAAAATTTGAAGAACAAAACATCTTAAAGTAACGTAGTGCAATGAATAATTTATTTATCAAAAATACTATCATCAAAATAAATTCATAAATATAAATAAAGAAAAAACAATAAGTATTTAAGCTTTTAATACTCTAAATGCAATCATTTCTTATGGGAATTTATAAAGCCGAAAAACGTTTTTGGTTTTTCATACTTTTGTTTTGTGCCAGTTCTAATCATTCATATTTTCAATTTATACATTTTTGCCTAGTCATAATTCCCATAGATAGTTAAATAATGAACAACAAACGCAAAAGAACCGCCCATGTTGGGCACTTAACGTTTTATTCTAAGTTCCATTCAGCTGGGCCATAAAACCAGCTCTCCCCTCTTTGTCCAGCTGTGACAAATCGTAATGAAATTACCACCCAGATATGTACATATACATATGTATATGTATACATATAGTCTATAGACACTAGTTGCCAGCTGGTAGCTACCTGTGGCCAAGTGACACTTGTGCAATTATTGTACAGAAAACAAAAAAAGAAGTATATATGTTCATTGTCAGGTGGCATAGGAACCGAACCCCTCGACAGGTTGTGTTCGGCGGTTCCTGGTCTCGGCCAAGAGCCAGGCGGTAGCGTGAAACGAATTGTTTTTCGGTTTTTGTTTCTATACCCTGTAACCATTTTGGCTTCAATAGGGTAGAATTAACTAAAACCTCTGAGCCTTTAAGTATTCTCAAAAGGCCAAATCTTCATTTCAGAGACTGTTACAAATTTTTGTAAATCATCAGGCTTATTTTTCGATTAATTCAGCATTTGCGCCAAAATCGATAATTATCGATTTTTATATGGGTTTCTTGAGCATTCTTTGGAGAGTATAAGAACTAGTTACTTCTCATTTTGTATATAGTTTCTCTTACAGCATACGCAATTATATTTCACTTTTTGGATACCTTTCACTCGCAGTCACAGAAATATCCCTGGTTTCCAAGGGTATTTCCAAGTCACGCACTTTTGAGTAGAGCAGCCTGGCTTGGAGTTTTTGTTTTTTTTGTATTTTTGCTGTGTTGCCGACATAGTCGCCATCCCAACAGGTACCAAAACAATGCCGACTATTTAGTGAAATGCTTTTGTTTCGACTGCGCCGCAACTCGTTGTCGCAGTCGCAGTCGCAGCCGAGTCGCTTATTAGCTTACCTGTTATGCGAGGCATTTTCCATTTTTCACACGCACATGCAGACGACGAAAAACTCTCTGGCAGACTGGAAAATGAAAATGCACTTGCTTGGGATTAGTTTCAAGTCTCGAAATTCGAATCTCGCCCTCGCTTCGACTCGGCTAGTTGCTGTTGCTGTTGCTGTTGCTGTTGTTGTTGTTGTTGTTATTATTTTGTCTGAATGGAAACATGAACGGAAATGCCGCAGGGGGTGATTTCTTTTTACTACGCTCTTAACTGGGCTTATTGCGAGAGTGTGAGCGAGATGCAAGCTATCTCTGTCACCTGGCCATGGTCTGTCATTAGGATTTATGTTGTTTGATTTAATGCGCTCACAATTTGGTTCACTTTTCGGTCTGGGCCATCATTTCCTATCGACTTGGGGCGCTACCGGCGTCTGCCAGAGCATCTTATTTTATTGATTGGCTTTTGGGTTTTTACTCTATAATTAATATGCTGGGTCTTATCTGTTGTCTCTTGCTTATCATTAAAGCACGATTAGCTGCCCTGGGAAAACTGTTTGATTTTCAAATGCAGCTACAACAACTGCTGAATGGTAAATTTTGTTATATATTTATTCATCGATTGTTTGTCGTATTAATTAATAGTTATGTGCTTATGCTGCATTTTATGGGAGTTGGAAAACCAAAGAGAGCCTACATGTGTGAATCATTAAATACATTCGATATCTGCTCTAAGCGCGTAAATTACAAATCGATAATTATCGGTTTTGAGAAAATTTAGTTCATTATAAGCAAACAACAAAGATTTTCGCCGTTCCGAACATGATTATGTATACTTTATGAGGTCGTAGATCCTGTCTTTCTGCCCTTTACATGCACTTGCACGAGTGTGAAATACCCTATTTATTGAATTACGTGTGTTCATTTTGATTGGTAACCGGATTGTACTTTAAAGTCTGCCCAAATACATTTTCCAAAAGATTTTATTCTATTCGATTGGCAGCTTTATCAGCTCTGATAACCGTTGCACTTTCAATTACAACACAATATTTTGCAGCTGGCAATGCCGCGCATTAAATTGTTTCTTTCTTAATGGGCAAATGTGTACACACCAAACGAAAATGAAATGTTTGTTGCCACGAGGGTGTGTGTATGCACACACATTACAAACAAAAATATATACATACATACATATGCAATTCTGATTACCTCAGGTTGTCTAGTTGGCCAAAAGCAGGCGACTGCAGTGGCCCCAACAGGCATTGCAAACACTTTCGGCCAAGTCAAAATGGCCATAAAAAATGGAAAATTGCAACTTTGGAAATTATGAGGCAAACAAGTTTTCGGCGCAGCACTCGGGCCTGCGGCAGCTGCAAGGGTAGGGGTAGGAGTAGGGGTAAGGGGGTAAGCAGCGCCAAAATTTCACGTAGCAACTGCAATTGCTACATAACTTTGGTAGTCGCCAACGGGCCACCCTTTTCCAGCTGCTGCTGCCACTACACTGCCACTACACTGCACTACATGAGAGCGTAACTATTATTATTTTTTATCATTAAGAAGCGGCTTCCGCCTCGGCAGCGAAACGAACTACACATAAATTGACGCACGGGGCGCGCGCAAAAATATAAAGATGGGAAAAAAAATATATAAACAAAACACAGTCAACGGGAAAAAAGCAACAAATGCCGCTGGCTAAAGACAACAACAAAGAGAAAGGGGGGACAAAAACACAAACAAAAAGTGAATTGATTTCCATGTGTGGCGGAAAAATGTTTTGCTTTGGGAAATGCTTTGGATAATTGTGTAATGCGGTGGCCACCATACACGACCCCTTCTCTCCCACACCAACACACACACACACACACACACTTAAGAGAAACGTCTCGAGGCAGCGTTGCCAATTGTTAAAAGTTACAACAACAACAACGTTGCCAACTGTCAGCTGTCAACTGCAAGCGGAGCGATTTATTATTGTTGTTGTGGGTGGAGCACAAAACAAAAAATAGGCACCACAAAACTAATTGAAAGAACTCAAGTAACAAAACACCAAAACTGGCTTACTAATTGTACAAAGAGTTTAGTTTTTTAGTTGTTGTAGAATCCTAGCACGAGACGACGTAATGTATAGAAAAGTAGCTAACTGAAAGAAGAAAAACAGTGCTTACAAACTGTGAAAAAAATTAGACAAGCGCATTAACGTATGCCGAATGCTTAAATTATTCTAATAGTAAAGCAGATTTTAAAGATCTTAAAGCACTTGTACAGCAAAAGCTGTTTGTCAGCATTTTTATTGCGTTTTGTTAGGGTCGCCTATAAGCTGAACTGTGTTTGATTACATGTGGGTGTAACCCTAGACCTCATCAACTGCCTTTCTCCGTAGATCGACGCCCTTAGTATTATTGTCGTTATTATTGACAGCGCTGCGAAAGTTGCCAGCTCCAAAACCAAATGAAGCATGAAGCAATGGCTTGTAATATTAGACAAGTTGTGTTTTTGCAACAACAAAATACAAATAAAATAAAAAATGCGTCGCCCTGTTGAACAACTAGGCGGCAACCCTGCCGCAGCTGCATTCCGCAATTGCAATCAAATCAACTTTCCAATGATGCATTTTGTCTTCATCGTTCGATTATAATTTGCCATTTTTGTTACCTTATTAGATAAAACAAATAAAAAACTATCAAAAACCTGTTGGCAACGATGATTTTGATATTGGTAGTAAAAATAAATGCTCAAGCGCCTAAATTTTATTACTCACGATGGGGTAGGGGCAACTACGGAGGGGCTGTTCGCAAGCAAAGTGAAAATTGCTCGTAACAGAAAAGTGAGAAGAAAACAAAAAATATACAAAAACAAAATAAGCGCCGGCACTTGTCAAATAGAGAACGCTATAAAAATACATACAAAAACGATTTGTATTATTTTTCGATATAGCGATAACGCAAGAAACGGAATAGGTAAAAAAAAAGCTGTACAAATAACGGAGCTATGTATATTTTGGCAACCGAATGTTCAAACACGACTGCACTTCCAGTCGAACAGAAAGAAGAAGACCTCATGTTAGGGGTTCTATCACTGGGAATTCTTGTTGTACTCATATGTTGCTGCTATTGTTGCACCGATAAATAGCAAAAATATTGGATAAAATAAAAATAAAAATAAGCTGCCTGTCGCTCGGAATATTCCACAAAGTGTCTACGCAGTAGAAGAAAAGCTAATAAATCAACGCGAGATCCCACACACGGTACGACGGGCATATTATCAAAAAAAAAATTGCCACATTTTTGCAACACTCACCATGCAAATATCAAAATTTAGCAATCGTTAAAGTTGTTTTTGTTGATGATGCGGATACTGCGGCAGTTGTTTTTTATATTTCTTTTTCATCCAATTTGATTTTGTTGTGTGTGATTATTAAATAAATAAATTGAACATTTTTCAACACTCGGTCTGTATTGTTGTTGTTCGCGCTCTATGTACAAAATGGGATGTATTAGAAAATATGTACATGCACACAGCACACACAGCACACACACACAAACGCACAGCGAGCAGCAGCAGTGAACTGAGTGGAACACAAACAAACACGTTTTAGCCGTGTTTGTGTGCACGTGTGTCTGTGTGTGCGTGTGCGATTAGAACTGTTGTTGTTGACCGTTTATGGCTGTTGCTGGTCGATGTTGTTGCTGTTATTGTTGTTTTTCTAAACTGGTATTAGATGTGAGCGGGCCATGTAACCTAAGAAGCGCACTGCAAATGCAACATTTTGCTGTATATGCAACAATTGCTACGAATTTGTATTATTATTCACTTGAAATGGGCAACGTTTTGATTTCAGACGTGTAAAATTGCACCGACTTAAAGCGTAAAATGAAAATAAAACGGAACTCTTGACTATACACACACACACACACACACACCCATTCACGCACGCACTCACCCATACAAGCACAAACTCACACACTCAACACAGGCACATCAGGTGAACGCGGCGCGCTAAATATATTCAATAACTCAGTATTAAATAATTATGTTTTTTAATAAGAAGCACGTTAAAAACAATAAGCAACAATTTCTATTGCAATTGTGTGAGTTTTCCGAAAAAAAGTAAAAGGCGAGCAATATTAATACTTCAAAAAAACATTACGCTTTTGCTTCTTACATTTATATTCATAGACACATTTTTAAATTGTTGTTGTGTATCAACAATTTCCAAAATTGGATCACTTTTTAAGAAACTTCGCAAACCGCACTACCGACGGACCGACCGCACGCTCCAACAATAAATTTTACAATAACAAAACCAGCAACATATTGCTGTTAACCGGTAGCATAACAGCCGGATAACATTAACATTATCTGTTCACTTAACATTAACATTTTCCAGACTGTTATCAACAGTCGAAAACAGCCGTTACTCGCTAATAAGAGTCAAATATAATGAAAAGAACTGATATTTCATGGCACACGCTGCTAAATATTGTTACAAATATTTTAATGGCAACAATTTGTTTTAGCTAAACACTAATTTGGTAGGGAACTAACAATAAAGTTAAGTCGCGCGCAAAACGCGGACCATGTACGGAAAACCGCGCAGAAAACGCATGCGTTTTAACATTCTCTTATAGTTAACATATTTTTTGTGGCTGTTATGTTACAAATTAGTGTTATACTCAAAAGGAGCTCTTGAGTACTCAACTAGCTCTCAGTCTGTTAGATAACATAGTGCAGCTGGCTGCCATAAAACTAGGCGCTTAATTTAGGGATTTCAATATTTAATTCTCTTTATTTTATATTTATTTATTTTTATAATAAAGGATATTCATTATTTATAGACTATGTGGTCTAGCAGAGATTACTCATAAATATCAACCAATTCTTTGGAAATTGTAACAATATATAAACGTAGGTAGACTAGCGGAGATTACAGAATAATATCAATGAATTAAATGGAAAGTCTTATGGTATATAAGCAATATGATCAGCTCCAGTGCACTTGTCTATTATTCCTTGAGTGCACGCAAATCCGGATACAAAGCGCCCGCACTTATATATTGAGATTCCGGTTTACGCAAATCACGTTTATATTCGACGACAACCGCTTCGCCCGTTTTCTTGACCAACTTCTTGGCCATACCCTTAGGCGTTATAATGTTGACATTTTGGCTAATGATAAAGGCATTTCCCACCGTATCAAATGTGCCGCAAGCCAAAGTGCCAGCCGAAGAGCCGTATCTATAAGAAAATCTCCATTATTAAAGGATCATTTGGAAGCGTATGTCATAATTTACTTGTGCTCAATTATTTTGACGGAATTCTCGCTCAGGCTGTTGCCCAAAATCTTGGCCGATGTTTCGAGGCCATCGAACACCGTGGAGAAGCCCTCCACGGCGCCGGCGGCAATTGTCAGGGCACCTTCCATGGCGCTATTAGCCTGACTGGTGTCATAGCCGAAGCCCTTCTGCAACAGCCGTGAGCCCTGGGTCTGGACCTGTGGTGCCAGATAGCCGCCCACTGCCATGGCGGCTGTGCCCACCTTGCCGGCTATCCAGCCGGTCATGCCGGCCGCCGCGTGCGTCACCCTTTGCGCCACATCGACGCCCGTCTGCACCGAGCTGGGAACTTGAGTCTGGCCATCTGGTGCAGCAGGCGCCATTTTGGATATTAGATATGGCGTAGTTCTCATCATGAGTCCACCTGTCTTCTCGGCGCCTTTGACCAGATTGCGCGCTATGAAATCCGCTGCGCACACAATGTGCTTGGACACCTGCTCCGAGCTGGTTGCCTGCCCAAGCTGTGCCTCAGCACGTCGTGTGCGCGGCGATTGCAGTTGCTCCACAGTGTCCGCCAGCACGGCCTCGAGCAGATCCAAAAAGAACTGCTGCAAATCGGCCATTTGCTCCTCCTCCGTCTCGCCGGCGCTCGTGCTAAGCGGACGCTGTGGCCGCTCCAGCATAATGCCAAAGGCATTGCCCGGCTGCGCTGATTCCATGTCCGGCAAAATGAAGGCGCCGTACTCGGTGCGATAGCAATTGGATACATTGGGTATAAGTGGATATAGCCAGATCGGCATGCCCACCTCTGTGGACTGTTCCGGTTGCGGCATATCGCACTGTATAAAGTAAATGCCATTCAAATATTTCCATTTGCCGCCCACGGTGCACATAATCAGGGACATTTTGGTGCTGCCTGTCAGCGTGGCTACCTGGCCACCAGCCTCGATTCTGTACAGCTTCACTTGCGCCTGGAAGAGCTCATCCAGCTGTGCTTGCGCATCGTGACAGGCCAGCAGTTCACGCAGCCCAACGGCCAGCTCCTTGTAGGTCTTCGGTCTGCCAGTGGCATTTGCTATATCGTAGAATGTATTGGGATTCTCTGCGAGCAGTGGTCGCTTGCTCGGCGACTGTCCATCTGGCACTTCCGGCTCCCGCGCCTCCATGGCACTCTCATCAATGGGCGACTGCTTGGCCCGCAGCACTTGAAGGCGATAGCTGATCTCCGTCTTGGCGCTTTTTAGCTTTTGGATTATCGCACAGGCATCGTTCCACTGCGTCTGCACCACATCGATCTCATCCGGCAGGCCAACGGGTATGGCGAACGTCTCCTCAACCATGTGCAGCGCCTGCGCATAGGCGGCGAGGGCCGCCTCAGACTCGGCTTCCTCGTGACTTACGGCTTGCTCGACCTGTGCCATGGCCGCCTTGTAGGAGAGCTTGATGCGCTCGTAGGCCTCTAGGAATTCCGATTCCGTTGACATGACGCTGCGAAACTGCAGTTAATCAATTTAAGTATTTATCGCAAAGAAATTCAAATTATTGCTACGGCATTTGTACAGTGGTCGCTCGTTAATCAAAACTATTCGCTCTAAGAAGCGCAATTTTTCCGTGCCTTTTGTATAGAAATATTTTTCTCTTTCATATGTTTGCTAGGGTATCTAATATTCGGCACACCAAAGATAACTTTTTAAGAATATATATTTTATCCGTATAATCAATTTAGTTCAAAAAATATTTTAATATTGTTTTAAAATGTATTCAAATGTAATATTTTTTAATACACATGAATAAAGAACTTTCAGATAACGAAATTTTTACTTCTGATTTATCGAGCGACCACTGTACTTTCATTCTTTTTTAACCAACTTCTTGAAAGAGCTCGCGCGCCATGTTGGATGCTCTGCGAATAACAATCTAAAACTAAGCTAATAAAAACAGCTAAAAGGGATTTTAATGCGTCACAAGTTGACAAAGCTGAATGTTTGCCAATTTGTCTGACGTTCACAAATTGCATTACATAGAATTTGCTTGCATGATGGCATCCGTGCCTGTGCACCCCCCCCCCCCCCCCCTTAACTATCAACGAGAATCACACTTGTTGTACTCAACTTACTTGTACTCTTATCACGTCCTGTTCGCTCTCTACGAGGAGAACTTTTTCCAAGGAGAGAGATTGTGAGAGAAACCGGGGATAGACGGATGCTGACTAATCGCCGTGTTGTTTTGCGCTCTTCGCAGACTTTGCACTTGGCTATGTCAACAATTCTTGAGCTACAAATATTAAGACACGTATCTTGTACTTTGATTTCGCAATTTGTATTGCTCACCTTATCTACGCGTATTGCCATTTCATGCAGCTGCTACTATATTTCTCAATCGGTTGTGCCAATGACATCGTTATGTACGAATAAGAAATTCGAGAACAAAAAATCGAATGTTCCGTGCAGCGCGTGCGTTTCTGTTTGTGTTTTGATTCTTGTTGTTGCTTCTGCCGCAACAGCTGTTACACGTTCCAGCATGCTGTCCAGCAAGCGCTCGAACGACGTATGTCATTCTGTCGTAACGTATCGTTAAGCTTAGCGAACGAAGCTGTACAAGTTGTTTAACAATTTGAAAATTAAATATTTCCCGAGTATTTGTCTTGGCAAAACAGCATATTGTAAATGCGAATACACATTTTAATTGATCTAGTTTTTAAAAAGAAAAAAGAAAAATTAAAACTGTGCAATTTGAATTTTTGGAAGCTTTACCCATTGGAATCACCGCATTTAATTCAAATTATATTTCAAATACATTTCTTTCGTTTTTTGTTTTATTATTTTTAAAATACAGTTTTTAATGTTAAATTTTACACATTTCGTTCGTTTCGGATTACATGCATATCCTTTTAAGGGGGCATTGGCTGGCGAAAGGAGATGGCCGTATAAATATATATATACATATATATATTTATATAACATGAAAAAGTTTTCAGATTTTATAACGAAAATAATCTACTGGAATTTGATGAACAATTTGCAATTCAACATGTCAAATTCTAACGAGATGCAGACTTGGGTTGCTTGGTTTTCCTTCCAAAGGCGTTCCCTTGCGGGAACGGGAGACGAGTTTCGATTGAAATCACAATGTATATTATATATAGTAATGTATATATAGAATAAGCACATACATCTCAGTTTGTATATATAATTGATGTATATATATTTTTGTATATATATATATATATATTATTTGTTTTTTTTTTTTTAACGTAATTATAACGCATTTGCGAATTTTCTCACACAAATGTGACGATAACGGAAAGAAAGCTTTTCTGCTTTTTCTATACTTTTCAGCTTACATTTTCATTGCTTGAATTTAAGTATGTATATAAATCCTACAGATTGTTATTTTTTTGATTACATTTTTCAATGCGTAGACCTGTGCTAGAGCTGCTGAAAGAGCTGGTAAATGGAGGAAGCCCCAATGTTTAGGTAGACGGCGCAGCGGCCAGCTCCCGATAGGCGTCCTGCAATGCCTGCTGCTGCTCTGGACTTAATATGCTCGCGCAGGCCTGCATGACGTCCGGGTTGGACTCAATCTGCTTGACAATTGTTAGCATGCGGGTACCGGGTGCACTCTTTGCCTCCAAAACATTTGTGCAGAACGTGTCCGCGATGATGGAAACGATGCGTGGCAGATTACAATTGTTGGCGCCCAAAATCGCTGGATGATTGGCCTCAATCAGATCGCAGAGATAGCCATAGATATGGGCGGCTTCTTCCGGATCTTCGGAGGTGGGCAGCCACGAGAACCAAACGCTAATTAGCTCATCCAGATTGGTCAATGCCGACTTGTTGTATTTAAGTATCTTGGCAAATGCCGAAATGGCGTTCTCCGTCGCATTTATGTTCTCAATTTCGCGTGCCCTCGGATCGTTGATGACCTGCACCAGCAGCGGAATGATCTGAGCGCATGTATGGGCAAACTGATCGCCAGCAAACTGGCCCAAGACCCCACAGCCGTAGGCAGCCGCCTGGCGCACATCCGGCGACTTGTCCAGCACATACTGGAGCAGTGCAGGCGTAAAGATTTGCTGATACGGCGTACAAGCGGGACCACAGAATTCTAAAGGACGGATAAAAATGAGCATTAGCTAACAATTGGGTGTAGTAATTGCTATATAGATAACCCACCGATTAAATCATCGAATACACAGACGCCCCACTGGCGATCGGCAAATGGACGATTGGGATCCAACAGTTTGACAAAGTGCGGTGCCACCTGATCGAAGGCGGGCAAAAATTGCGCCTTGTTGGTTAGGAAGAGTGCGTGTATAATGTCCACCACCTTCGACAGTATATAGATATCTGTATCATCCTGTTCGGCCAGCTCTTCCTCAACGCCATCATCGTAATCCTCCTCGGTGCGGGCAGCCAGACGCTTGTCGGCCCGCTCGAAATGCTCCAGCACATACTTGTTGATTATCTCGAGCACCTGCTTCATGGCCTCCTCGTTAAGGCAATTGGGTCCCAGGGTCTCAATACATTTGGCCAGCGAGTTGAGCAGCTCGGACTGAACATCCGGTTCCGGTTCGGTATTGATCACCTTGATCAGTTCGGGACAAATGTATAGCCACATGCCCTCCAAATAGTTGGGACCCTTGATTTTGGCGCAGTCGAGCAAATATGGCAACGATTCGGCGGCAGCCGAGCGCACCCCATCATGGAAGTAAAACTTGAGCAGCGGCAACATTAGACGCACCACCTCCTCGGCGTATTCGGCGAAGCCCTCCTTCAGTTCGCGTGCATAGCACACGAGCATTTCACAGGCGGATGCCTTGTCCTCCATGCCAGCGGTGCGTATGGCAAAGTTCTGCTGTTCGCCCAGCGTAATGAACGACCATTCCACATCGCCCTCAATGTCCTCGACCTCATCGTTGTCCAGCAGCGCCACCTCGGGCTTCATGGCAGCGGTGCGCATCACTGGACCCATAACCAGCGGCAAATACTGCTCGAATTGCTTGCCCAAAATTTTGCACATGCGCGCCCATGCGGTTATCAGATACGATGTCTGCGGATCATCATCGGGCAGATCGCCCTCGGTATGGGTTTTCAACAGCATGTCCATTACCTCACCGGCATCGTTAATGAATTTCTCGCGACCCACCGCCAGGCCGATGAGACTCACGCACTCGATCGTCTTGCCGCGCAGCATGCGCAAATCCTCCGAGTTGGCATTCTGTATGATGAACTTGAGGCAGGGCATCAGGCGGTCGTAGTAGGCGACAAACTCATGCTCGCACGTATCTGCCACGGAGGCAATGGTGGTGACAACCTGCTCCAGCACCAGCTTGTTGCCCTTCTCGACGAGCTCCTTGAACTTGGAATTGAGAATGGTCTCCAGCTTGGCCATGATTGCGTCCAAATAGCGTGTCAATATGTTCTTGGGGCAGTCCTCACTGAAATTGACCAAAGCAGCGCCGGCGTGCGCCTGCACACGCGGATTTTGCTCATCATCAAGCAGCAGCAGCAAGCCAGGCACCACCTGTATGGAGGGAAAATGTGTTAACGAGTATATTCAAGACATTGCCATTGTCTGCATTCACCTGTTCATGGAACTTCTTCTCGAATGTGGGCGCAAAGTCTGTGGACATTTGACCAATTGCATTGCAGGCGGCGTAACGTACGCGTGGATTGGGATCGCGCAGATAATTGAGCACACCGGACATGACCTGATCGAGTATGGCCTCCATTTGCTTGTGACAGCCCTCGCCGATGGCCGAGATGGCCATTAGAGCGGCAAAGCGATGCTTCCAGTCCGCATGGTTCAGCATGCCAGGCAGGGCGTTCATGACATGGGGCAAAACCGTTTTGCCGCCCAGTCCGCAGGCCAAGCGATCCAGTGAAGATTCGGCAATTACATTGTTATCGCTGTGATCATCCTCATTGATGACATCGGCCGTCGCCCAATCCTCATCCTCATCCAGATCGGTCATCATTTGCAGAACGAGCGGAATGAGTGCGATAATATATTTCTCAGCACGCTTGCGCACCATGGCGGGCGCATTCTCTGCCAAAGAGACCATAACCTCGAGAACCAGATGACGCCAGCTATCCTCAAAGTCCTGTGAGCTGAACACCTTCATGCACATCTCGAAAATGTACTCCACCTGTGGCCGCAAGTACGTCGGGCAATTCTCGGTCATGTCAATGAGCAGCTTGAGCAGGCTTTGATCGTCCTGTCCCTCAATCGTTTCGCCCGTGATGACAATCATACGCGGCAGAAGATCCGCAAAATGCTTGTATATGGTCACCTCCTTCTCCTTGTCGTGGTAAAGTATAAAGGCGCCAATGGCGCGCACCGCCTGCACGCGCACCTCAGCATCGACGGTGTTCTCCATGCTCTTGGCCAGCATCTGTTTGATCAGATCAATATACTGCGTCTCCTGGTTGCCAAAGATCGACGGTACGCTGCTGAAGATTCGCAGTGCCGACTCCTGCAGCTGCGGCGTTGGTGAATTGGCGCATTGGAACAGAAACTGCAGAATGTCCGGCCACTGATTGTTGCCATCCTCGTCGATCAGATTGCGCGCCACCTCGGCAATTACCTCGCAAATTTTGCGTCGCAATTGCGGCGTCACATCCTGTTGCACGGCCATCAGAATCTGCTGCAGCAGCTGATTTTGCGAGTCAACGGGCAGCTGCAATCAAGATCAAGATCTTCGGATATTAACAAACTGATCAAATTGAAAAGTGCAATTATATTCGTTTTACCTCCTTGTAGAATTCCATAAACTCGGATGTGAAGAGGCGACGCAACAATACGGCGGCCATTTGGCGTGCCTCCTCCGATTGTTGGCCATTGTGAATGTTGCCCAACAGGTGTGTTACTTTAAGCTCTCGCGACAGATTGTTATACGTTTCCTTGGGGTCAGATAAGGATATAGAGGGATCAAGAAATGGTAAACAATTAAGGGTTCTCCACAAGGAGCACAAGAAAACCAATTTGGCATCCCATTTATAATTAACTTCAACTTCATTTTTGCTGTTGTTTATTTAGCAGTTTTTTAATTTTAACTAATTTTTGTAGTTAGTTTAAAAAAACAATGAATATCATTTTTTGTTCGTTTTTATAAAATATGTTTTTATTTCAAAGTTTATTTGAGCTTTGATAACATATTTCAAATCCCATATTAACATCGCTTGTATCTAACTTAATTTTGTTGCAATTTACAATAAAATTGTATTATAAAATTCTAGATTTTAGTTTCCGAATAGTCTTTAAAATCCCATTGAAATAATTAAATTTCATATAATTAAAACCACCCATTTTCACTTAATCGGCCAAAATTTGTATTAACAGAAGCGTTTTTGAATGTTAAATTCAGGAACTTCGAAGCATAAAATGTTGTTTAACATAGCTTATAACTGAAATGTCGATTCCCTCTTAGAGTTGCCACCTTAAAAGAGTCTTTCTTTCCCCACTCTATCTTGCATTTAGACCCTTTTGTGTATTAACAGAAGCATTTCGAAATTTCAAATATATTCTTCAGGAATTCCTTAGCATAAAATGTTAATTAACATTGCTTGGAACTAACACACGCCGATTGTAACTAGAGTGTTGCCACCTTATGAATCTCTCTTCTGCATTTAGATTAGGATACATTCATTTGTGGAAAATCGAAACTTCACAAGTACTTTAACATAATATAATGGGCAGTAATTGACATTATTATGGCATATTTGAAATTTTTGTTTCCAAAATGAATCCTGCCAGCAATACAAACTCCAATTTCTGGCTGTGCAGTTTTTAGGCTTCGTGCCCGTTTGAAAAGTCAAATTACATCGACTGTATATGTTTGTGTATATGCATGTGTATAGACTAACAGTTGCAGTACAAGGCAGCGCGTGGCGTGGGCGGCGCCAAGGTCAACAGCTGAAATGCGTGTGGACTGTCGGCTCAATCAGGCCGTTTAATAATGCTACAAATAAAACAGATTGCATTTCAGACCATGCGTCATCATTAGCAATAATAAACATTTTTGCACCTGCGCTTTGTTTCCGTTTTGCAAGCGTGTAACAATTGTGCGTGCTTGTGTGCGAAATTCATTTAAAGGCGCTGTCAGCCCAAAAAAAATATTCATACATATTATATATTATAGCTCCATACGAATTGTTCAAATTGTCTTTTCGCTTTGTGCGAAGCACACGCACACACACATACACAGTCAGCAGTTGCACACACACGCGTACATGCGAATGTCGTAGCGAAAAGGAAAGCAAAAACACGTTTTGTGGGCTTTGAGATAGAATGCACGATGATTATGATTCAGGGAATCTTATACTAAATGTTTCTATTAATTACGTTTGATAGATAAAGCATTGCAACTGTCTGGGTGGGTAGCCGAATTTTAGCATTATACTAGATGCAACCACATTTTAATATTGCGCAGTTGTCTGGTAAAATTTGCCATTTTTTGGCCCTTGTTCCTAGTAGGACTCACCTCGGCCTGTTTGCGAACTTCATTGTCCATGGAAAGCAAGGAGCTCAGGAGCTGTTGAAACTGTGCCTGGTCTGCAGCCATTTTAATTTGCAGTTTTCACACGGTTTAACACGATATGGAAAACACACAATTTTCACAATCTTCACGCGACGAAGCCGCTTAAAAAAGAGCAGAACAATAGAAAACGCGATGCCGGGTTGCCAAAATTCCAAAGTTTTTTGTAGTGGGTGTATATTATTGCTGCAAACACTAGAAATACACTTTATCCTTATCACATAGGTTGCGGCATGTAAAAAAATTCTTTTAAACTTATTTGAAATTTTGAACAGACATAAATTAAAGAATTATTTATTAGGAATTTTTCCAAGCAAGATATGCAGAGCTGTGTCAATACTGGCGTCAAGCAGCACGCGCTATGACAATGCGCTATTATCGATAGTTTTTGGCGCGCAAAAAGTGTGGCCACACAACAGAGAATGTTATAAGTTATTGAATTAAAAGAATACAGAATGATTTAAATCTATATATCATACTATGCTTGCGATTATCTATTTCATAATTTAGTCTTTTAACCAAAACCTTTTTTTTAAATAATTTTAAGATATCGATATTGACAATCTGTAGTCGTTAATTTCAACTCTTACTAAAGCTGAAAATATATAAAAATTAAAAAAAATAGCGAGTTTACTTTGCAGTTGTCTGAAAGTTATTGTTATTGGATTGTTTTATTTTAGCAAAAATCAATTTCACTTGTGATTATTTAAAATTAACTGTCGTTTCTTTCCAAATTTATTACAGTTCAATGTTATTTTCGCTGTTCTACACACTGTAAACAGAAATTAGTGTTGTTTAACAAACAAACATCAGAGTTTGTTGTTTACAAACTCAACAAAAAGGAAACCCCATCAAAACAATCAAGAACTCAAAACAATCAACAAAAAAGAAAGTATAACAAATGAAAAAAAAACTTACAACTTGCAGTAATCTTTTAATATAGTCAAAAATAATAAACAGCAGCCTAGAAAATGAGCACTCGGCTCTGCGCCTATAAAGATTGCCATAATTTTTATTATCGGCAGGATAACAGCGGCTGCGGCGACGTGACGCTCTTTGCTTTCCCCAAGGATTCAAAGCGCGCCGAACAGTGGCGTGTGCTGGGTCAAGTGCATCCAAAAATTGGTCCCAAACAACTATATATGTGCTCCATACATTTTGATGCCAAATATCTATCCCTGAACAAGAATCGTCGCATTTTACTCGGCGAAGCTCTGCCGTTTCCCTACAGCAAGAGAAGAGAAACAGAGGAGAGTCCTGAACAAATGACAGCCACATCTTCTTCGACAGCACAGCAGAGCTATTGCATCAATCCGGGTGCTAAGAAGAGTCAGATGGAAGATGATAATCTCAAGGACAGTATATCAACGACATGCTCATCTTCGCAGCAAAGCTTTTATATCAACATGGACGAGGACGATTTAAGCATTGACAAACTTGTTATGGTCGAGTCAACTACAACGCCATCGCAGACCAAGGACAACGCAGAAACGGATCTGTTCGACAAAAGTGAGCGGCATATTATATTACATATATGTATATGTACATTATTAACTTATTTTTTAACTTAAAAACTTAGTTGAATTAAGCATTGTGCCGCCCGCCCGCAAACGCGCACGGCCGCCTACGCCGGAGCTGGATGAGGAGGCGGAGCCGGCGGCGGCAGATGATGATCAGCTTATAGACGACTCTGAGGTATCCATATTCAAGTTCAAGGGGGAGCAATATGTGCAAATGTCCCGGGAATATTATCTGCAAGAGAAACGCCAATTGATGGACCAGTTGCGCTCCTACAAGCGGACGCTGGCCAATATTAAAATGGAATTAATGCCGCTTAAGGATATATGAGACGATTGAACCATATTATATTTCTTAAAAGCCTAATTTCAAATTCGTGTTTCAATCACTTTGCTCGCAGATGGCAACTTGTGCTGCCTGCTCCACATCGCTGTCCACGTCGGGCACATCGCTGTCCACGTCGGGCACATCATCATCATCGTCATCGCAGTCGTCGCTATCCGGCCGCTCCTGCATGCCCTGGCCGAGTCTCTGGCACTGCAACAGCTCGGCCCAAGTCAGCTGTGTGTCGCACAGCGGACACACGCCGCCTACAGGTATATACTGTCCTGGCTGATCGGCTAGCAAGTAGCTGGCCAGGCACAGCATGTGGCAGGTCAACCGGCATTTGGTATTCAAGCAGCCCAAGCGCGAACGCTCCGGCTGCTGAATGCGCTGCATGCACAGATGGCACTCAGATGACGCCCAGACGACTGCAGCTCGCTCCGTGGCATCCAAATCCAAGCGATTCTGCGATGTGGTTATGGCCACCTTGCCGCTAACGATGAGCATGTGCGGTGGCAGCGGTATGACAAATGCCCGCTCATAATCTGCCTCCAGCCAGCGTATTGTGAGCGGCAATCGATGCCAGGGTCCCACGCCTAGCATTCGATTGACTATACGAAAATTATAATCAAAATGCGATTCGCGGGGCAATTTACGCTTCAATTCGGTATACATTTTAAGGCGCGTTGATAGCGTCGGCTGTTGCCACGCCCATTCGAACTGTAGCGCAACAATATTGTTGGGAAATCCATGGACAATCATCACCATTTGCCAGGGTCCCTTTTTGCTCGTCTTGCGGGCGCCGCCAAAGTCACAGCCACGATTGTGCTGCTTAATCCGTCGCTTGGGATTCACCGTAAAGCCCACATAGCACTTGCCGCGATATCGCGCATCCGGACTCTGACTGCACAGCAGATACACGCCATAGAAGTGGCCCTTCTGGGCCAGAGCCTCGCCGGAGCCTGAAAGTTAGGGTTTTTATTATAAACAAGTTCATCTGCTACTCAACCAACATTCAAAGGCAGCGACAAGGGTTTATCAGGGGATATTAGCTGAGATAAATTCCGATTTCTACTCTACAAAACCGATCGGTGAACCGCATTAGCTAAGAGCACAGCATATCTTGGATTTTATGCCAAATTATTTGAAGCAGTTCTCAGTCCTGCAGTCCGGTCATTTAGGCAATCGAGCAAGGCTTCATCTGATTATTCTCTTAGAAGCCACACGATATAGTATTCCGATTGCTTATAAGATTTCCTATAATCAGCAACATCTTTGCTGCCTGCCACAAAAAGTCGGTCTAATACAAACAAACTTGGCTTTGTTATACTTATACTCTACGAGATCAGAGATGCCTCTGTAAGGGTAAGAAACATTTGTTGCGTTCATTCAAACGGGTCTATGCTCATTTCTATCTCAGTTGGGGCTCGCGTTTCCAATCGAATGTTTGCCTACACGAAATATTAATCGTTTTTTTTTTTGCTGTTGTTTGATATTTGGTCTAGAAGTCCTTTCTGTGTTCTGTCTCTTAGTCTAGTTTATTATGGGTTTTCTTTCTTGCATAGCACTTTGCTAATTTAATTCTAGTTTCATAGCTCCACTAGCGGCCAGTCCATTGATTTGTTGTTGTTGCTGTTGCTGCTGTTGTTGTTGTTGCTGCTGCTGCTGCTGCTGCGGCTGCTGCGAGACGGACAAGACCTGAGTCTGAGTTGGCGCTGGCTCCCGCGGCTGCTGTTGTGACTGTGTCGCCGTCGCGGCAGAGCTGTTGCCATTCTGCAGCGTCGCCTGCTGCTGCGGATTGGCCGCCTCGATGCCCGCGACAGTGGCTGCTTCACTGGGCGCCAAGATGCCGCTGCCGCCATTGCTTTGTTGCAGCTGCTGCTGCTGCTGCTGTTGCTGCTGTTGCTGTTGTGCAGCTGCTGCTGCTGCTGCAGCATTCTCCTGCACGGAGTTGATGAGTTTGATGCGCTTGCGCGTATAATGTTGCCACTGTAGTATGGCCTGATCGTCGATAAATTTGCAGCATTGATTGTTAACGATCTCGCGGCGAAAGTGTTCGTATTGCAGCAGATCGAGAAAATATAGGCACATGGGATACATCAAATACTTGGCATAGTCGGGCTCTTTCCAGTACTGCAAATACTTGAGGTAGTTGATAAACGACGGATCCTTAAAGTAACCACGCTGTGCGAGAACTGTAAAGCAACCAAAACGTATTTAATAATGTTCATTATACGATTTAGAATAAACAAGAAACTGAGCTTAAAAGAGCTAGGGGAATAGCCTAATATTAAGGGTAAAGCTATGGCCAATTCGGGATAACAAGCACGTAAATTGGATGGGTTTTAATAGCACTTTAATGCGAACTAGAAAGTACAGTTAATTGCAGCACGTCGAAGATTAAATAACCTTTCTGGACTGTGGTTTAAGGGTTTGCAGATATGTGAGAAGAATATTGAAGTTCGCTTGAAGTACTTTTCGACATATTTCGATGACGTATGACTTATCCGATATGATTGATAAGATTTGGCTCATGATTAATGAGTATAGATCGGAATTGTATATACTTTAAGGCGTCGGAGATGACTTCTTCTGTGCGTTGCACTTCTTAGAATAAAATTATAATACCCTCTTAGGGGTATAAAAAACATGTCTGAACATCTATTGGAAAATGAGGATATCGCCAATAAGGTATCCAAGATCGATGCGCTCATACAGGCGGACGGACATGGACAGACCTATTCGGCTCCGGTGTGCAGCTCACCCTGGAAATGGCCATATTAGGATAATGTACTGCATGATAATAAGGTATTCGAAATCCTGACTATATAATAAACAGACTTACAGTTGAGATAGTTGGGATTGGACAGGCACTGCACAAACTCCAGTTCGATTTGCCAGCGTCGTTTTTGTTGTTCCTCCGATTCGATGGCCGCTAAACAAAAGATAAAGCAAAAAAATGTTTAGAACTTGTATTTGAATTGAATTAGCTTTGTTTTTAGGTAATTTATTGCTACAATGGCTGTTAATTTCGTACTAACTAAAAGCATATGATTAATATGTTAACTATTAATGGAAAACAATAAAGAATAAAGAAAAGTCGAATGCAAAATGTGTTTAAATTTTTTTTTATTGTTTTTGTTGGGTTTACTTACTCTTACCCTTTCCGTACATTTTGGCCATTTTTCTAGCTGTTGTGGAAAGGGTTTCGTTGTTTTTGCGTTTTTTCAGTTTGTTTGTTTGCTAATTCTTCGGGTGTTGTTGTTTGTTTGTTGTGCTTGGGTGTGATTTCTCGTGTGCTTCAAAATTGTACATAACACAAAAATCATAAATTACACATAAAAATGTACACAATTCGCATTGGTGTGTCTGTCTGCTGCGTGTGTGTGTGTGTGTTTGTGTGTGCGTGTCTGTGTGTGTGTCAGATGGGTAAAAAATATTTTTAAAAAAAGCGCATACAAACACAAACGGAATTGAGTAGCACTTAAAACGTAATTCAACTATGAAACTCTCTGTCGCTCCTTAATTATGTTGGGTGATATTCGTTTTGTGGTAAGCAAATTAATTATAATTTATTGTTATTTTCAGCTACAAACCGTATGTGTTCATGACAGCGTGACCGAATCTTGTAAGCAGAAGAATACTGTTTTCCACCAATAAAATATACCGTAAATATACTGAATTATCTGCAACGAAAATGTACACACTGTTTGCATTGGCAATCATTTTGATTTATTTCCATATTTATTATTTACATATACAGTCACTTAAATGCGTTTATGTATCATCGATTAACTAATTTCTTAGTTTTAAATTAAAAATGTCACAAACACTCATTATTCAATTTACTCACTGAACGAATCACTGCAAAGCTCTCTCTCTTACAATGTTAAAAGTGATCTATTGGGCTCTCTTAAATTACAGAAATTCATCAAAATGGGCGCGCAATTTAATTTGTTTTCAAATTTTAGTATATTATATTTAAATTATTTTGTCTGCTTACAACAAATTTATTTGACTATTTCACTTAAAAAATATTTATTTAAATGTATTAAATATTCATCAAAAGTTCAGTCAGACAGCACACAGCTGCGAAAAATATACAGAGTATAGTTTCTTTTCCGGTAGTATTATTGCTCAGAGAGTAAGCAGTCGCTTACTCTCTATATCCCTCCCACTCTCTGGCTCTCTCTCTCTCTCTTTCAGTCACTCTCACTCTCTGTCTGCTGAATTTCATCAATTTTGTTGTGCCGCTCATTCGTATTTTGGCATTTGAAGCGTACGGACGTCGTGGTCGGTTTCGCGGACGCTTATTTGTTTATTGCTGCGAAAAAAATATCGTTTTACCAAATAGTTTAACATAAATGCATGCATGTACATACCAATGTACATCTTTTAAGAATACCGAAATCATAAAAGAAATAAATCAAAAGCTAAGGAAACTACAGAAGTGAGTAGATTCCAAGAAATCACAAGTGCGTGTGCCGACACATGTACATCAATTTATACATACAAATGTACGTGCGAGTGCCTGTTTGCGCGTGTGTGTGTGTGTGGGTCTGCGCGCGAGGTGCAAAATAAAATTCACAAGCGGCAAAATAAATGAATAAAATTGTATACACAAAGTGAGCTGCGGCACCAGAAGCAGCAGCAGAATGTTGTGAAGTTGCGGCGCAAAAAGAAAGCCCGCGAATAAAACGAGAAGAAAAAAAAAGTGAATTTAGGGCTGCAACTAGGAAAGTGCGTCGTTTTATTTTGAAATCGATACGAAAATAAAAATACACAAAAAGTGGGCCTCGTTCTACATACAAACAAATATACCTACGAATGTTGTCATACATATGCATTAATGTGCATGTATATTTGCAGGCGTGTGAATGTGTGTGTGCGTGTGCAAAGTGCAACATAAACAAACGAAAATGTTTAACAAGAATGCAAAAAAGGTAAATACATGATATGCCTATGTCTGTATACATACAAATATACTCGAAAAATTACTACGCAGCAGAAATTTATGCGGCACTGTTGTTGTTGTTGTTGTTGTTTCATATCTATCATATCTTCTGTTTCGTCTTTATCGCCGCCACCGCCGCCGACTTCGTCTCGTTTTGTGAATGAGCAGCAGAGCAGTGTTGTATAGTGTGCGTGTGTGTGTGTGAGCAAAATAGCAAAACAAAACTACGTTCCGGCATCTCTTGCATAGATGGCGCTCTCAGCGCTGCTTTGTTGTGCTCTCTGTGCACGCTCTCGCTCGCTCAATTTATGTGAGAGTGTGAGTACAGCAAGAAAAGCAAAAGTGTGAAGGAAGCGCGAAAACCACAATAACAACAACAATGGGAATATGTCAACATCAAGAACAAGACAATTGCACAGAAATAATATGGAATAAGAGTAGTAGTAAAAGTAGTAGCAGAGGAGATGGCGGGGGTGTTTGCTAATTAAAAAGCGTAGCAGTAATTGGCATACCGCTGTGCAGTCGTTCTCGTTCGCACATATAATGTTGCCACTTACTGTGCGTGTATGTGTTTTGTATGTGTTGATTTTTTCTTCTTGCAATACATATGTACATATGTATGTACATACATTTGTATGTATATTAAGAAATAACATTAAAATGCCGTTGTATTAATCATAATATATTTTTGATGGCGGAGCGTAAGGAATGTTGCCGAAAAGTTGAACATGCGTATATGTATGTATTCTCACTGATTCTGTGTGTGCGTGTGTTTGTGCGTTTGCTTTCTGTGTAATTTATTTATTTTTAAATCGAGTTTGCCTGTGTGTGTGCGTGTGTATGACAAAAATAAGTTGCCGCAAAAACAAAATTGTTGAAAAACAACAGGGACTAGCCAAGTTTTGTATATAGCAAAACCGGAAATTGTTTATGCGACGTTGGCAGCGACGTCAGCGACAACCGATCGCTAGTTTTTATGACGTGTGTATGACGGGCACACAAATACACACACACTCACATGTCATATAAGGTGGCAACTTTTGGAAATTTTGGTGCATAATTTGGCCACACTAATTAGCGGTACGAAGAGCAATAACAACAACAACAACACACAAAAATTACGTTGACCACATGTCTAAACGGCGCGCGTGTGCATGCACAACAATAACAAGAAGAGGAAGAAAAAAGAGAGCGAAATGAGCTGATGACCATGTGTGAGTGTGCACGCGTCTGTGTATGTGTGTGTGTGTGTGTTAGTTGAGCGAGACAAACTGGCAGGTGTCATTGACCCTTTTCGCTGTGACGGTAAAAGCACATTTTATTGTTGTTGTTGCCGCTGCTGTTATTTGCACTTTTTGTTTTTGGCTTTTTTTCTTTTTTTTTTTGCTGCGTTTGCTGTCGCTGCTGTTATTTTAGTTGTTGTTGTTGTTGTTTTTGTTGCTGCTTATGCTACACACTGCGGCTGCTTGGCCTTGAACTTAGGCGCGTTTTCTAAAGCACATATTTGAGCTCCAAAGCTCTCACACACACACACTCGCGTCAGTTTTTTTAATTTTTTTTTTGCTATGCTTTTGTTGACAGTTCTCTTTTGAGGCGCGCAGAAAACGCACACACCAAAAATGGTATCAATTACGCAATTTAGGTTGTTGTTGTTGTTGTTGCTAAAAGCTTTGCTACTTTTATTGTTCGTTATGTTGACAAATGTCAATGTGTGTGTGTGCGTGCGTATGTGTTGTATGAAGCTTGTTTTTTATACTATGGGAATTGAGGTCAACGCTGCCTTGTTTTCAGGAACAGGGGGCGCCGCGTGTGTGGGTCACGTCCTCAGAATCGTACCATAACATTTTTTACACATGACTCAATATTCCCAATTTTTGGCAAGAACAAGCGAGAGACTAAATGTGGGCTTTGTCGTTGAGTGTCTCTCCCGAGTTTAACGAATAATACATCTACATTTATGTATGTATATATATTTGTTTGTACATAGCGCCCGAAAAGATCTTAAGAAAACACACAAACCTGAGACAACATTGGTACCAAAGAAATAAAATATATGAATAAAAAACTATATTACATCATTGATCAAAGCATGACTAACGCATAACAATAAAAAATAATTAAACTCGACAAATGAGAACTTTTAGAAATTAGAATTCAATTGCTTGAATCTAAAATTCTTAAATATTTCTATTAATCAATTTCAGGGAATAATAAAAATAAGGAAAATTCTAGTAAGTGCAAATCAAAGATTGCAAATCATGAACAGAATCGAAATATATATATATATATATATGTATATATATGTATATATATACCCCCAAATCGCACTTTCTCATATTTGAACTATGTATGTGATATTTTTATGAGATGCAACGAGTAGTCTTGGGATATATTATCTATTTGTATGCGAGATAAAGCTCCCTTTTGTGAAACGATTAAATGGATCGTTTCCATTTCAGCGAAATTATGACCAAACCTGGGTATGTGTCACCTTTTAGCAAACCATATTGCGGCACATACATTCACACATGTTTTCATACAAATCGTCAGATTAGGCATTTTAATGCCCTCTCCGCGGGTATAATCATTTGACAACCAAATAGGTAACACTTTTTATGTGTGACCAACATAAAGAACTTCTTTATGGCAAATTATTTAAAGTCTTCTGAATCTATGCTTTCGTATACAGAATATAAAATATTAAAAGTAGATACTCATAAATATTATATTTAATATATGGTACATAAATAAGGGTATTTGGTATTCAGTGCTTGAAAGCTTACTTTTCTTTCCAGCTATTAGATCATTGTTTTCCGATTGGGTAATGCATGGAACACTTTTAAATCGAAGCTATTGTGAATAAGTTAATCGTTTACTTTGAATTAAATGTCAGCTAATTTCAGTTTAACAAAATATGTTATTTTCTAAAAGTGCTGCGTTACATACATATATGAGTTTTATTATGCCTAATTGTTGGAGGTGTCAGCTATGGACTGTTAAAAAGAAAAATAAGGTAATAAATTAAATTAAATTAAACATTAATACAAGGGCTTAGCTTTAAAAGCATGTCTCGTTTATCAAAATTTTAGTTTCGCTCTGTGTGTGTGTACATACATATGTGTTAAGGTGTACATATATAGAATTTGTTGTGGCATTTGCCAAAAAAAGAAACGACTACCTCTTAAAAAAAAATTGATCACAAGATGTGCGTGGTACCTCATACGACCCTCCCCCCTTTTAGCATCAGCACACCACGTCATCAGCCTGTCTGCCCTGCCCGCCTGTCACACCTTACGCTCTATCTAACTAACGTATCTGCTCAGTTCAACCAGTGTTGCCATCTTAAAAAAAAAGCATTTTGAAAATCATAATTGTGATTACGATTGTGTACTGCACACACGCATTTCGTGTTTATGCGTAGGCGGCGACACAGACTTCTCTTTGTGTGTGTGTGTGTGTTTATTTACTTGGACCTTAGACTCTTGATAAGTGGGGCCTGTGAGCGTTGGAGTCGGAGCGTGTGATGCGAATGAATCACTTGTAAAAACTGCGAAAACCAATAAAACAAAATAATAAACAACTCTTATAAAAAGCACAAAAACAGCATACACACACCCACACACACACACAGCACACATACACAGAGATCTACATATGGTATTTATCTAATTATTACTGTTTTTCTTGATAAAGCTTTTTGCGTTCATTTGTAAATTATCCTGTGCCATGGTGCCGTTACAATAACTTAACGAAGCAATAACAACAACAACAACAACCGCTTATAGATTGTTTTTGTTGTTGCTGCTTTTATACTCTTGACACTTTTGATATTCTCTGTTTTCCTGCTCTGCACCCTTGTATGTGTTGTCTTTGCGTATGTATTTTCGACATTTTGCTTTGCACAGTTATTTGTTTTTCTTGTTTTGAAAGATTCCGTTTCGTATTGACGTTCGTTTAAATATATATGTATGTACGTATTTTTTAACGTCGCTCATAAAGCAGCCGCAGCCGTTGTGCGTACGTGCGTGCGTGTGCCTGTGTGCGTACGTGTGTTGGTGTGTTGGTGCAATAAACAATACACGTGGTTGCATTTCTATTATTGTGCTCATTTCTCGCTTACTCTCCGCTTAACACTCCGCTTGCTGCAGTCGGTCAACTTTTTTGTTGTGCTTACATATTGTGTCTTTGTGTATGAATGAATGTTTATGTGTGTGGGTATGGCGCTTGGAGCATTTAGTGCGAACGCCGCTGCTGCTGCTGCTGCTGGGTGGGCGGCTATTTAACGGTGGCGCTGGCGTTTGTTTCTATTTATAGTAATTTTTATAAACATTAGCAGATAAACCCAATGCCCGCTCTCGTGCGTTTCTTTGTGTATGTGTGTGTGCGTGTGCGTGGGTATTTAGTGTTGCATATCTATTGCTTAGAATTGGGATTTGCTGACGGCATTGACGCGTTCGCATTGAAATGTTGTTAGTTAATAAGTTTTTTAGAATTTGTTTAGCTTTCTAATCGCTGCCCGTTTGGCGCTGCGCCACTCACTCGCTGCTTACGCCTGTTCTCTAGAACGACCTTTGAGTGACCTAATTAGGAATTTTTTGTTTTTGGAAAATGTTCTTAATGATTTAAAGTGTATTACTCATTTTATATTTTTTTTTTTTTGATTTCCTTGATTAAAAAGCCAACGCCTTTTCCTTAAATGCAAATAGTTATTGATAAAAAAGGGTAAAGTACAGCAACAAACAGAAAAATATTTGTTAAAGCTATATACAGTACCCACTCGATAAACGCAAAGCCTAAGTTTGACAGAGGACGTACTGTATATAGTTATTCCTTATTCCCTTTTTCAGTTAAATTATTTTTAATATGTCATTGATACTAATATTTATCATCATTAAATTAGTTTTCGGACCGTTATCGATAGGCGGATAGGACCAGGCAAACTTCTCATAGCCTGATTCCACAATACTCCATATTTGTTACATTTACAAACTTCACATTCTGCGATTCCATTAGCTAGAGTCAGTTGTCGGTAACATGTTAACGGGAAAAGTTCCGCTTCTTTAAATAAACAGCTGTTCGGTTTGATTTGCTTTACGGCCTCGAAGAAGGAGCTTCATTTAATGGATTCTGCGAGATTTCGCCATCTTTAAGTGGAATAAGAAAATTAAAATTATAATTAAAAGTTACCGCTAACCTTCTATATCAGCTGTTTGTGGTACTGATACTTTCGTATTTACCATGACATCGATACAAATTTCGATAAATAATCGTAAGGACCACGAATTACGCTCAGCGAATACCAAAATTTTTTGTGAATGTGAAAAATGTGATTTCTTATGTGAAAACGTACAGGCAACATACTTCACATTCGCAAAAAACGAATGAAATCTTAATATTGGAATAAGTCTATTAGTTTTCAGTTGAAATCTCTCACTCTCACCCGCTTTAAGAATTTTTAAATGCATCTCGTCCATCCTACACAATTTTCTGCCCTGCCACTTAACTTTAACTTAAATGCTTGTCGCCATAAGTTTTCGTTATTGTTGTAGAACATACAAATGTGTACTTGATGCTATAATTTTTGTTGTTATTGTGGCTGTCAGCTTAATTAAAATGGAAAAAGCCCAAGCCCAGAAGCTTGGTGGTAAAACATTATCGATAATGGAGCCATAAAAGTAAAGTTGATTAAAATAATGTTGTTTAACAACACTGAAATTAATTAAAATAACTCTTCAACAATTTTGAGAGAAAATAAATTACTTTTTGACTATGAGGAGTTCATATGTAGTTAAATTAAAAGTTTTGCTCGAAAGACTACAAAAAATAAACAAGGAAAAAATTGGATCAAAATCGTCGCACAAAATTTAATTTTTTCACAAATGTACACATACATATGTATGTACATATATGTATATGCATATATAATATACAAGTTTATCCACAAAAACTGCGTTTTTTTTTATAAGTAAATATGAATAATAACAAATTAAGCAAAACCCGTTTGTTCTCCTAGGTGCATGGAAATTTCTGTCTCGTCCTGTGCATTACTTTGTCATGTAGAACTAAGCACGCATCACTGAGATGAGTCTAAATATACATACATGTATGTAAATGTGCATGTGTATGTAGATTTACACGCACACGCATGTTGAGTAACTCACAACAACAACAACAGCGAGCAAGGCATTTTATGATTTCATTTTAACTGTACTCGTAAATTTAGCGATTAGTGGACGTCGGCCCCGCCGTTGTTGTTGTTGTCGTTGTCTTTGCTTCTTGGCTTGGCTTGCTTCCTATTCCTCGTCTCCGTTTTCGGTTTGCGTGCTTCACGCGCCAGTCGCGGCACTCTATATTTTTTGCGGCTGCTCCTTTTAGCCGCCGCCGCCGTCGCTCCAAACCCTCCCCAAACAATGAGACGTCGGCACTGGGCAGACAAACAGACAGGCAGACAGACAGACGTGGCGGGCAGAGCTTAAGCGGGCTGCTGCGTCGCTCTCACTCCTGTGCTCTGTGTACATACATATGCATACCTATGTGTGTGTGTGTGTGTGTGTGTGTCTGACTGTCGCGCTTTGTTTGGCTTTTGCAACATTGTTGCACACGAAGTTTATTTTTAGACCACAATCCATGCTGTTCCTAACAGAGCGACAGCGACGACGACGACGACGACGACGTTGACATCGCCGCGACTGCAGTTTGTTGTTGTTTTTAATGTTTTGCTCCCATTTTTTTTGCCCGCTTTCTTGTTTGTTTCTTGAGGTAATTAATTTTCGCCTTGTTTTTGAAGCTCTCCCGGCCTCGCTCATTCTTTTTCTCTCCATCGCTCTCTCTACTGTTGTACAAAATTTATGTTTTGATTAGCGTGCATAGGCGATGGCTTTAACTTTTTAATGGCTTTTTAATTAGGCGGCTTCTTTTGATGTATTTATGTCTAGACCCGCTCCCCCTCTCCATCCTGCTGTTATTGCTGCCTGCTTCTCATTAGGCAATTTCGCAATGGTCTGCTACATTTTGGTGCCAGGCCACAGGCATTGGCAGAGGCAGGCGCCTCACTACAAAATACTACTATTACACACACAAACACGCACACATACACATCATTTACTACTTAAAACCGCATTCGTAATTTTTATTACAACCACCACCACTTGATGGCGCATGCATCGTTTATCCTGCTCTCACTCTTCTGCTTTTGGCCTTTTTACTATACGCCTTGCTAGTATTTTTTGGTAGTCACTGTACCACATTTTTACAACAGAGCGCCCCAGACAGGGGCCAACGACACCATTTTGCGCGCGCTCTCTCCCTCTCTCTCTTACACAAACAGACACACTCACAAGCAACTGCCTGGCAGGGGACAGGCGTGCGCCTTCATTCATAAGCGTTGCGCTTTTTGCAGTCGACGACGACGACGGCGGCGCCGCCACTCACTGCAAAATTTGGCGGCTTGCATGTGAACAATTTTCGTTATTTATGTGTGTGTTTGCCTGTACTGGCGATTTTGTTGTTTCTGTTTTTGTTATTGTTTTTGTTCGTGCTGCTGTTGCATGCGTAGCTTCCGCCCTTATCACAACATTTACACACATACACACACCGTTTCATTTTCATGCACAGGCGCTGTCTCTCAGCGCTCTCTTCGACTCGTGTGTGTGCGCGCTCTCTTTCTCTCTCTCTATTTTGGCCGCCGCCTAACTGCGGCTCGCTTCGTAGTTTTGTTGTCGTCCTGTCGGCTGCATGTTTTTATACGCATTGCGTTTTACACGTCTATCCTTAAAACGCCGCAAACGCCGACACCGTATCTCTCGTTCTCGCTCTCGTGCATTTTGCTTGTTGGCTCTTCTGCTTCTCTCTCGCTTGCACTTGCAGTTTTGTTATTAGATTTCACTTTGTTTTTATACTCATTCGCCTGCCGTTTCACACACTACGCTTCGCGTCATTTTTCGGGGTCAACGTCATCTCGAGGGTTGCTGCTGCTTTTGCTTCTGCTTCTGTCGCCGCCGACGCCGTCAATCGTCGTCGCAGTTGTTTGCGTTTGTGTTGTTGTTTTGTGCATGTCTCGTATTTTTTGCGGCGTCTCACAGTTACTACGTTTATGCGCCGACCGTTATCATGATGTCATCTTACGCTGCATTTTAAAGCGAAAGCATGGCGAATTTAGATTTTTAAATGGGAATTTAACGTAATTTACTCTGCATTTGGTTTACACGATGCGTCGTTTAAACGTGATATGTGCACATGTAGTTGAAGAGTGTTACTTTTGCCGCTTCCTTAGAGTAGGTCGCGTGCTGTGTTTTCTTTCGTGACACGAACATGCACGACTTAAAGCTTAGCATTTTCTATTGGCCATTTATTTATTTATTTTGTTATTATTTAGCAAATATTTATATATTAACAAATTAGAATCACCTCTTAAACCAAAACGTTGTCTTCCGGATTGATTTGAATTCATAATCGCAAATCTAGATAAGCAAATCTGTGTTAAATAAAAATATCAAATAAAGTAAACAAATTTATGAATTAAAAAAAATGCAAATATTTATGAACTTTTAAACCAGTGCCAAACAAGATGGCAATTCTTAGATTTTGATAAAAAAAAATGTATGTAATCTACATAAAAAGTAAATTAAAATAAAAAATATAACTATTAAATGAATCTAGGGTTCTCCAAGTCTCGGGGTCGTGCTCAGAAAATCGAGCACGCGCTCATCTCTATGGCTGGTGCTGCTGCAGCACATTTTTAATGCTGGCGCGACGCAACGCGCACCTCCCGGTTCGATGCGCCTGTCCGTCCGTCCGTCCGTCTGTCTGTCTGCATGTGTCTGCGCCCGTGACTGTTTATTTGTTGTCTTGGCCAAAATAAATTTTAGACGAACTGTGCGAATTGCAAGCTAAATAAAACTGGTATTTAAAACATTGCGCAGCGTCTGCTGCGGGGCCAATTAAAGGCAAAAACAACACACAAAAAAAAAAAACAAAAAATTATCATTTAATTTATTTATTTATTTGCAACCCATTTATATTTCTTTTTATACATACATACATATATGCATGCACTTTCTGTCGTTTTTGCTCCCCACCAACTTCCCACACCATTTTTTGTTGCCCGGTTTCGCGTGCCGCACACAACACCCCACGTGACTTTTAGTAGTAGCATTTTATGCTGCCCTTTTTTTTTCTTTTTGTTGCTGTGCCTCTTTGTCTGCCGTTGTTGTGTCTGCCTTGCTGATGGGTGGTTGGAGAGGGGGCGTGGCAGCAGCAACAACTACTCCGCTTTTTCTGCACTTATTTTTTTGTCTAGAAAAGGCGTGGTCCTTAAGTGCCAAAACAATATTTAAGGCCATTTTTTTTTGGTTTTTTTTTCATTCGTTATATTTTTTCTTTTGTGACGTAATAAATTATTGCCATCGTGTGTTAATCTTTTTTATTTTACATTTATGTTCATTTTGATTCATTTCGAAAGATAAGCGCCTTTTTTTCAAAGATTCTTGCTGTCTCTTCTTTTAAGGGAAGGGAATTATGAATTGCTTTTCAGGCTCGATCGGGTTTATTATTTGCACTTGTGTTATAAAACCATTTTATATAGCCCGATGTCAACTGTACTTTGAAGCTAAAATGCATCATCATTATAAGAAAACATATTCCCAATTGTTTTTTATATATTTTTTAAATACATTATCTAATTGAAAAGTACTTAAACTAATTGGAATTTAACTGAATGTAAACTTTCTATTGCCTTTCTTTATAGATTCACAAAATGCATTATTAAAATCGCGTGAAATATCACAAAAAGTGTAAAATGTGACACGGCTAAGGAATGCAAATTGAAAGAGAAACTGACAACTACAACAACAACAACGCCACAGCATCAAATGCAACGCAGAGAGCAAAGAGCAACAATAAACAAAACAATAAATAAGAAAAAATGATAACCTAAATAAATAAAATTGCTAGTCAAATAGTTTGGAGAAACGAAGAGACGAAAAACGGCGAATCGAGAAACGCGACGAATCGGCAAACGGGTCGCGACGAGTGCATTTTTTGAGTTCCTAGCAAAGAAAGAAAGAAGTAAGGATAGTAGAAGAAGGGGCTTCCTTGCGTTTGCTACCTCTCTCTTCTCCCACTCTTCAGATATCTTTGCCCTCTATAAAGGCATCTCTTTCGCGCAGTTAAAGAGCGTCTAAGCAATTTTTACAATTGACACTTTGTTGTTATCTACGCTTTCGCCAGAAGAGCTGCCGCCGCCGCGGCCTGCACAGCAGAAAGCAAAAGAAAGTGCAGCAAAACGAAAGGGATAAGAAAAAGCAGCAACAACAGCAGCAGCGCCAGAAAATCGAAACGTGTTTTAAATTTATAACAATAAGTAAGATAAATTGTTGTGCTGCCGCTCTCTCGCTCGCCTCACCAACATCAACATAATCAAAAACAACAACAACCACAACAACAACAACAACGAAGAGTCACCATAGGTAAGTTGCTTGCATTCCACTGTCCACATTCCACACTCTTCTAGTCTGCTCTCTCGTTTCTTGCTTCTTGCGTGCTCCAAATTTATGTGACATTCCAATCTTTGAATTTACCCTGCACAGCTTGTGATCAAATTAAGAGCTTATGGGTTTTCCAATAGATTCAGTTTTTTATGATGTTAAAAAGAGATATAATAATATATGTTAAATACCTTTTTTTAAATTAATATTAATTAAAAAACAATGTTGCTACGAAATAGGCTTAAATTCAATTAATGTCGTTGTATTTATGATATTTAGCTGCACTGTAGGGTATAGGTAGGTCGGCTAATTGTTGTCGACCAGCAAAGAGGCAGGCGTATGGAATTTCTCTCGATTGACAATGTGAGACGTGTGAACATGGAAGTTTAAATAGGCATCGTTGTTAGCGTAGCAGGGAGAGAGAAGGATGAGGAGGAGTAGGAGAAGAATTAGTTTCCGTTTGTTCCTCGATATTTCACAGTTTCTTGTTTTTTTTCTCTCTCTCTTTCATTGTGGTATTTCCGCATGGCCCAGTTTCCAAGCACTCACGCTGTAATAAATATCGAGAAAATTCCGGAAAACGGGAAAAGCGCCCGGCTAAATAATGTGTAACAAATGGCGCGTCTGTCGCAACAACAACAACAACAACTGCAACTGCAATAATAATAACTTGGCAGTCGACGACAACGGCGACTGCTGCAGCTCCAGCAGCAAACTTTCTAGAGTAAAGACCAAGGCCCCTCCTCCCGGACCGACCCTGCCTCCCACCACACTTTGGCTGACACATTGGCTTGGCGGGATGGGCATGGATATGGATAGGGGGACGGGTGCAGTGGGAGGGGCCGAATCAAACGCGCCAGTCACTCAATTGCATACTCACCGTCTGGGTATTTTTTCTTGGTGTGTGGAGCACACTTGAGACGTCTGTTGGCATGCGGCTTGTGGCTTGTGGCATGTGGCATGTGGCATGCCATGCGATTTGTGGCGCTGCCATTGCACATTTAGATATCGTACCACGGCAGAGTTGCCATTACAGCCCGGAAATGCCGGCTAATGCAATGAAAATTGATCAGATATACAGCCTATTCGATTAGCTTTCAAAAGTTTCTCCGAAAGATTCGCTATATTACTTAAAGTCCCACTAAATATATGTACATATATCCATTAAAAATCCAATTCTTTGAATGGGGCGGACATCATAAATGCTCTATTAAAACATACCTTTTTGCCAGGTCCTGATCATAGAAAGTGAATAAAATAGAATACGAAATTTATGGGTTTCTAATTCTTAAAAAATGTCGATTTATTCTACATTTCAAATGTTGTATCTCAATCACGAGTTTCGGTATTTATCGAGTTTATAATATTCCATTTCTTAAGCCTGCAGCTTTACAAGTCTCATGAGTGACAAGAAAACGGGCATGTCCTTATCAAGAATATTGGGTGTCAAGGAGATTCTAAAGTCTAAACATGAGGAACTTATTTAACTCGATAGATGGTTTATTTTTATTTTTCTGAATATTTTTAAACAGAGCTTGCTCTTTTATTCTTCACATTTTGTTTTTATTATGCGTGTTTATATTCTTACAAAAGATGTTCATTGATTATCGCTTAACTATAACTATTTTAAGAATCCTTCTGGTTTTTGAATCCTCGTAATACCTACAGACAAAAGACACTGCTGTTTTCGTCCTACTGTAATTCCCATAACGGAAAATATTCAGTTCCCCAGCACGTGTTAGCTGTCATTCAGAGACGAGGTTGTTGTTGTTGTTGTTGTGATTGAGATGGGGGCAACGACGAGTCGAACTGTCTCGTTGCGTTCGATGCATGCGCTTGTGCTGCTGCTGCTTCTTCTTCTTCATCATCATTATCTTCTTCTTCTTCTTCTTAAGGGGAGCCCATTGCTTGGCGTTGTTGTTGTTGTTAGCACATGCCGCAGACGCGCGCATTCTGTCAGTTGCTCAATTAGACGCACTTCCGTTGCACAGACAGAGAGCCGTTCTAACACAGGCCCCCTCTCCATCCCCTCTATCTTCATCAATGTTTTTCATTCCACCACGTTTCGCTGGCAGCGCCTCCAAATGTGCGCATGTTTCCTATATTTATTTCCGTTTTGTTCGTGTGATTGATGGCTGACTGCTGTCGCTGTCGCAGTTGCCGTGGCCGTCGCTGTCGCCGTCGCAGTTGCCGCTGACTGCGACGCTAACATCGGCTATTAATGTCGCTTTTTATGCTTGTAAGCAATGATGTAACAAACGAAAAAGAAATAATGTAACGATTAACACAATTCATAATAATAAAAACCAAACTGCGGGTCCGCTTGATTGGTGTCGGCTAGGGGACAAGATAGAACTAAGGGGGGGTTAGAAAAGAGACCTCCAAATGGCCACCAATGATTAATTACGGCATGTCGTACGTACGTGCGTACGCACATGTACAATTAAATAGTCGCATACTCACTAACACATTTACACGCAACTCCCCTATGTCGCCCTCTCGCACAGCGTTTGCTTTATGTGCTCAATACCGTAGACAGTTAACATGCCGTAAAATTTTTCAGCTCTCACTCTTTTTGGGTATGACGGTTGTGCGACGAAAAACAACATAGAGGAGTGGAGAGAAAAAGAGTGAAAGAGAGAGAGCAACAGAGCAGTTGCTGTTGCTTTTCCAACTTGCCTTAGTTGCTCAGCAGTCAAGAATGCAAAGATTAAGCAGCGCAGCAGCCATCGCAGTACACGGCCCTTGCTCTCTGTCTGTCTGTCTGTCTGTCTGTCTGTGGATGCTGTGTGTGTAATGTAAAAAGCACGTTTTAAGTTATGTGAACGGTGTGTGAATGAGTCGTCGTCGTATCGTGCTGGTGCGGGGCAGAAGGAAAGAGAGTCTGACAGTTAAGCCAGACTTGCTTGTTTTGTGCTTGTAGAGAGGGAACAAGAGAGAGAGAGAGAGATCAGACAGGCGAGAGTTATGTTAGTTATGCTGCTGTTGATATTGTTATTGTTGCTTTTGTTGTAATGTGCTGCATATGACATGCCATGAAATGCTGTGCAAATAATGACTTTGCCCAAGTGAGTGGGTGAACTGCAAAAGAGAGGGAGAGAGAAAAAGAGATACCGTGAGATAAACGAGCTTTGCAGAAAAGGATGAGAATTCCAAAAAAATTTCGATTAACGTGGATTGTAAGCTGGTTTTGAAGATGGATGCGTCAGGAATGTTTGGAATGCGTTTGAGAGTAAAATACAAAAAACAAGTTGCTCTTAATAGTTTCTCTTCGACTCGAACATTAAAGTTTTTCATTCGGGAATGATGTCACAATTTTTGTTTTAGCTAATTATTTTCATTGCTTACACACACAATACACATTATGTGGTGACATTTAGACCAGTCATAAATTAGTTTTCATGACCAGTTGCAGCAACTGCTGCTTTTGTTGCTGCCCGCAAATGACATTTTCTATGCCCCCTAGCCCGTCCCCCGTCTCTGCCCTCGCCGCTAGCAATTACTCGTGCTTGTTGGCAGTGTGTGCATTTGAGTTAGAGTTGAAAAAATAAAACAACAACAACAACGACGACGAGCAACCTGAAAATAACATTATTTCCGCATTCCATGCGAAGCGCATGCGCGCAGCCTCCGTTGCAGTCAGCGGACGCGGCTGAATTGAGAATTGAGTGTGTGTGTGTGTGTGTGTGTGTGCGTGTGTGCGTGTGAAAGAGCGAGTGCGTGAGGGAGGGCAGCTTACGACCCACACTCGTGGCGCCCATTAAAACGTCATAGTTCTTGCAGCTGCATTTTAAGCTGCCTGCCTACCTGCTTGGGTAATAATAGTTTTTTAAATGCTCATAAAAGTCAGAAACAAAAAGTACAAACCAAAAAGAAAAGGTAAGCTGTCGATTTCTGCTGCTGCTGCTGCGGCTCTGCCATTAATCACTTGCGAGTGACTCGAAATGCTAAAAGCGCCACATCAAGTAAGAACCGTTAAGCATATGCAATCAGATCGCAGCTGAAGACTTAACATACATACATGTATGCGCATTTGTCAGCGCTTGGCCCTAGCGAGAGGGAGCGAGATGGATATCGTAAAACCCCCAAGCGAGCAATCGGCCGATCTTGGTATTGACATTGACAATGTCGTCCCAGTCTCTCTGCAAATGGGTGAAATACGTATATTTTTATTTCACTTCTTTTTTCTTTCGTCAAACTGCTTGAAAACAAGTTTACACTGGAGATTTGAAGAAACTTATAGAAATATTATAGTTATTCATTCGGATTCAAATACATACATGTAGATATATCTAAACTATAAAATTAGAATAATTCGCCGTAATATGTTGAAATAATCTGAATGTAGCTTTTGGTAAGTAACTAGCTAAGCTAACTAAGTAACTAACTTCCAATAAATTATATGAATGTAAATGCAACAATAATACATTTGTATGCAGTGTCTAAGCCATCGTTCATATAATTGAAGCCTATTATAGGGTTGGAAAACGCTTCATGAGTTTTTAGTGTTGCCCCTTGAACAATATTCTAGCTGGGAATGCTTCAAAAAGCTTTCAAAGCATTATTTTTACTTTTTTGTGATATTTAAAATAGATTAATCAGTGTTGATAAGCACTTCATTTATTTTGCCTTGTTCAACATTCTAGTATAAATGCTTATAAAGTTAAGCAACACTTTGGTGGTACAAACAATTAATTAATCATTTTTTGAATTACTTTTGACATGAAATCAAAAAGTTGAATTATTGTATGACTGAAGTTTAAAATCTATCTAGTGTTGTTAAACATCTCCGAACGTTACAATTTGAATCGTTATTATATTCAGTTCATTTTTATTTATTTCGTTGTTAGTTTTATGACTGGAATTTGACACTTATTTAGTGTTGTAAAACGTCTCGGATTATTACAGTGCTACTCTTTTTTATATTCAGATCATTTTCAATTAATTCCTTGTTAGTTTAATCTCTAGATTTAACAATAAAA